CCTCCCCCACTCCCCTTCCTCACTACAATGCAACCCCTCTGCCCACTGACACCCCACGGACAGCACTGTCCTCGCTGTGAGGAGAGAATCAAAGTTAGGGAAGGGCCTGGCACAGACACATGCTCTGTAACATAGGGTTAGCAATGTGCAGGTCCAGTACTTCCCACAACGAGAATAAGGAACCTAAGACTTGGCTCATTAAGTACCTCACAGACTGGCTAACAAGAGAGACTGAAGAAGCAAAGAAGGGGTGCAGCGAGGACCAGCACAGAGACGAGAGGAATGAGAGGAGTCAGGCCTCCCTGACTCACCAGTGCCCAGGGACATCTTCTCAGGCCCACCCCTCCTGGACACCCTGGCCATTCCTCCAGTTCCTCCATCTCAGCAGGGGCAGGACTCCCCTCCTTGCCTTTATGCCTTTTAGAATCTACTCTGGCTACACAGACAAATATTTTTCTGCCTTTGCTTTGTTTTCCAGCTCAGGTGAGGCCTCCTCCTGTGTCCAGTGAACACCCACAAAGATGAATGGAGGATGTTGTGAATGGGGCCTGGGATGCAGGAAGGAAAGATGTATGAGGAGCCCACCACTGCCTCTGTGCTGGAATATTCTCTGGACTGGCTAGGGAGAAGGCTGCATGCAGAGATATATATGCCTGTCTCCTCCACAGGACAATAGAGCCACAACTACCCAAAAGCTCCTGCACACCATACCCTCTGGTGGGTTCCAACAGCAATTAAAAACCAAGGGTGTGCCCAAATTGTCACTTAGCAGGATACTGTTGAGGTGCAAGGTGTGTAGAAGAGGAGAAAAAGATGGAGTATTGGCTGGGGGAGGGGAGTTCGAAGGAAGCCTTCCACCCTCAGGCAAGTGAAAGGGCAGAGTCAGCTGTACTGTGTGGAGACAGCAGCCACAGGCACAACCCAAGGCCTGGGCCGGTGAGATGGCTCAGTGGGGCAAGTGCTGGCGTCCAAGTCTGTAAGTCTGACGACCTCAGTGCCATTTCAGGACCCACACGATAGAAGGAGAGAACCAGCTTCCATTCATTGTCCTCTGACTTTCAGATGTGTGCCATGGCTTGCGCACACACACACACACACACACACACACACACACACACACTATACGAGTTAGTTAATTGATTAATTAAGCAAACAAAAACTCATAACCCAGGACCCGACCACAGCCAAGTTGGGCTTTCCCTTTCAACCTAGGGAGATGAATTACAAGACTCCCATTAGGCCCCCGGGGGCATGCCTGGTCCAGACAGAGCAATGCTCTTGGAGCTCAGGAAAATACCTTCTATGTGCCCAGCAGAAGGAAGAAGATTTCAAGGGGAGAACGAAGATGTGATGGGCCTGAGGGTGAGGGACTGGGCCCTCGAGGCCCAAGCTTGATAGTGCTATTGCCATCTCCTTCCCCACCTGAGGTAAGTAGCCCTTCCTCTGCCCTGTCAACTGGGAGCCTATCTAGTGACTGCTGTGTTCCTCCTTCAGTCTGAGGACCCCTCATGACTCCACAGTCCTGTCTGTATCTATAATAGTTATCTGCACGTATTAGGACATATGACTGTATGTGACTCACCCCTGTCCCTCTAGCACCTGTCCGAGAGTCTAGGTCACTCACCGGCTAAGCCACACTCCAAACGGGGGCAGCATCAGCAGCATCAGCAGCCTCACCAGCAAGTCTCGTGCTTCTTGTCAAGCTAACACCCCAGAGCGGAGGTGGGAATGGAGAGCCACACAGACAGACAATCCAGCTTCGGAATGTGGGCTATAAACAAAGGACACAGAAGCATGGAAGGCTGGGGAGGTGGTTCTGGTCTGGGGGGCTGAGCAGGGTGTCTTTGAGAAGGCAGCATCTGACACAAGACTGACAAGGTTTGACAACAGAGAAGTCCCATAGTTGGACTTTCCTTTGGGACGCCAGCTCCCAAACAGCAACACAGAGACTTACTATTAATTATCAAAGCCTGGTCTATAGCTTAGGCTTGTTCCTAACTAGCCCTTATAACTTAAACTAACCGATTTATTTTCATCTCTGTTCTATTGCTTGGCTCATTACCTCATCTCGCTGTACTACCCATGCTGCTTCCTCCCCCTCTGACTGGCAACTCTGCCTTACTTCCTCCCAGAGTCCTCTCTGTCCCTGTAAGTCCAGTCAAACCTCTTTCTAGCTATTGGCTGATCAGTTTTATTATTACACCAATCACAGCGATACACTGTCACACAGTGCACAAACAAGGATTCGGGCATCCTCCTCAGGACCAGGACTCAGTACCCTAAGGCTCAGAGAGACAGGCAGTGAGAACTTCTCTAGTCCTGTCTCTCCCCAATTTCATCAATGACAGGCCAGGGGAAAGAGAGTAGAGAGGTTCGTGCCTTCCCCTACTCCCAGTTTGCCAAGGACAAGGAAGAGGAACTCCAAGAATGAGCTCCTTGCTTCAACAGAACACTGCAGCCCTGGGTTCCTATGTCTGCCGCTAGCAGAAACGCCAAGTGCCCAAGGTGGCTATCACGTAAATATGCCCTAGAACCTTCCCTTGTGGAGGATCCAGAACCATCGGGGCAGTTCTGCCTTGGAGCATCTCAGCATTGTTTCCAACTTCAAGGTCTCCCAGGGTCCTGGTGGTTTCTTTGTGCCAGGGGAGATGCTCTGTCCACCAGGATCTGTTCCCATAGTGACTAGCACTGTTTCCAGCCTGAAGGGCTCCCAGGGTCCTGGTGGTCTCTCTGTGCCAAAGGAGATGTTCTGTGCACCAGGATCTGTTCCCATAGTGACTTGATTTTCTGGGCTGTTATCCTCCAGTCTGTCCCCAGAGACCGGTTACCCTGTGAACCCCACTGTGACCTAGACACTGGACTTCGCAGTGGGAGTATGTTTCTGATGTTTCTTCCTGCTGTCCCTGGAGCCCTTCCTCTGCCCTACTCCCAAGCAGCCCAGCCCAGCTGTCCTTTCTGCCTTCCTAGGTCCCATCCTGGAGCAGCATCACTGCCTAGGCCTGGATCCTGGAATCTGGCTCTTCTGCCCCTGTGCCAACCCTTGGGCCTCAGTGAGTACCAGCTACTCTACACCCACAAGGGGCCCTTGACCCCTGTCTTGTCTCAGAAGGTCTGTATTTCTGTCCTGAAAAATGGATTCCTTGCCTCTCTTGATGCCCTCAAGTTTGCTGCAGTGATTTGTGGCCCCTGTGCTGGAAAGCTGAGACCTTTGACCTCTCTTCCCTTCTCCTCTCCATCCTGCAGCTTGCCCCCTGTCATTTGGAGATGCCCATGCCTGCAAGCAGACATGGGAACTGCCCTTCCCAGATGCTCTAGCACCCTTCTGAAGTCTGCATTGTGAGCCCCATCTAGAAACAAGCACTGAAACCAAAGTAGAATGATTTTCTTGGATTTTGTGTGTTACAAGTGTTTATACGAAGAACAAATGCTGGGGCCGGAGAGGTGGCTCAGCTGATAAAAGTGCTTGCACAAAGACTTGAGTTCAAATCCCAGTAGCCACAAAAAGCAGCTGGGTGTGCCTGTGGAAAATGGAGTCATGAAGGTTGCTGGGACTTGCAGCCTCGCTTTAGGTTCAACAAGAGACCCTGAATCAAAGGAACAAAGTGAAGTGGCAGAAAGGACAGTCAACCTCCTCCTCTGGCCTCTCTGTGCACACAGGCATGTGCAGCTATATACACAATTGTGCACACACCACACACTCACACAAAACTCTCTTTCTCTTTCTCTCTCTCTCTCTCTCTCTCTCTCTCTGTGTGTGTGTGTGTGTGTGTGTGTGTGAGAGAGAGAGAGAGAGAGAGAGAGAGAGAGAGAGAGAGAGAGAGAGAAGTCAACTTGGTTCAGACTCTTTGGAAATTCAAACCATGGCAAATAATAATAAGGCTGCAAAAAAAGGAAGCCTTGTTCCCCTCTGCTTCTACTGAAGTCTGAATTCTGAACAAAGAGGTTTTGCTCAGTTCTGAAGCTTTTCTGACCCCTGACGATGGTGGGATTCCATAGAGGAATTCGTTAGTGGGAAGTAAGGGCAGATATAAAAGAGGGGGCGTACCAGATACTGCCTGAGTTTAGGTAATATTTGATGAGGCCCCCTCCACCCCTGCAGCTTCTCAAGAAACTCTGAGGCAGGTCGTGGCCTTGGCTGCTGTATTCCACAGCCCCAGTGTATTTGTTCGATTGTGGTAACTTGTAGTTTGAAAACTCAAAATGCAAAAGTTCACATGAATATTTTAGTACCGTTCTTAGCTGCAGCATTCCAAACTAAGCTTCTTAATTAACCTCATATCCTGCAAGGTGTTTGAAGATGAAAAGTTTGGGCAGGAATGTATTAGTGACCCAGCAGGAACCCACTCCCACCTCAGCACACACATGTACCCATAATACCCTTCACAAAGGCCAGCCACACCCACCTGAAACACAGGACGGAAGACACTCCAGCTAGGAGCAGGGTCCCACTGCCAGGGCTCACAACCCTTCCCTGCTACCTGTGAACTTGCTCCAATTCCTACAGGGTGTCAGGGCATGGCCTATCTGGGCACAGTGAGCTTGGATGTACGCTGTGGCCCTTTTTCATTTGAGAAATTCATATCGTTTCTAGTGTTCTAGTACGAATAATGCAAACTTACTGTTGAAACATTAAAATTATGAATAAACCGTAATTTGAGAAATCCCAGCACTACCAAGGGAAAGGTAGGCAGGGTTATTTGAGTTCTAGGTCAGCCAGGGTTACAGAATGAGAGCCTAGGTTGGTGGGAGCTTGAGGTAGACAGATGGAATACAGAGAGAGACAGAGAGAAACATAGACACACTGAGAGGGACAGAGGCACAGAGTGAGACAAAGAGACAGAGAGAATGAACTGATGAACTCTGGGAAAACAAGTCCCAGCTGCCCAGCCCCTCTGTGCAGATATTCCGAAGCTTCCTCCGTTTACACACCGAACCACATCCGCCCCGCCTGCTGCTCCCAGGTGTTACAACCGAGAGAAACAAATTGCTCCAGAACTGAATGGCACAACAAACAACCATTTATTATCCTGGGTCAGGAGAAGAATTTGGCACAGGGCAGGTGGCTCATCTCAGCCCCATGATGTCTGGTTCCCAGTCTGGAACGCCAAAATGCTGTTCTCTCACATCTGAGGGTCGCTGGCTCCTGTCGGGTTTCTTCACATGTTGTGACTCCCCTACGACATGGCAGCTGGGTACCAAGAGCTGTCTCAAGACAGAGGCAGTCTGGTATAAATGGCTGCTCCAATGAGCTGCAGAGATTGGAGGTCTCACTTCCACCATCTCCAATTAGTGCAGCGGTCCTCAACCTTCCTGATGCTGCACTCCTTCAATACAGTTCCTCATGTGGTGATGACTCCCTCGCTATTTCATTGATGCGTTATAACTGTAATTTTGTAACTGTTATAAATCATAATGTAAATATCTGTGTTTCCTGATGGCTTTAGGCAACCCCTGTGGAAGGGTTGGGATCGTGACCCACAGATTGAGAGCCATTGTATAAGTGGAGTAAACACTATAGGCCGCCAGTTTCAAGGGGAGGGAAGCGAGTTTTCACCTCCAGGTAGGAAGCAGCAAGGTTCTAGAAGAGACTTTGGGATGAGAAATATGCGGGGTCATTTCAGAAAATTTAATATGCCATGTTAAACATTTTAAAAAGCTTTATCCTTGGGTGTATGCATGCATGCATGTGTATGTGTGCATACATCTTTGTGTGTGGTGTGGTGTGAATGTGTGCTGATACTCAGAAGTTAGGAAAGGGTGTCGGGTCTTGGGAACCAAACTCAGGGGTTATACAAGGTGCTCTAATCACTGAACCATCTCCCAAACTCCAACTGCCAACTTAAATTTTAATGTCTTCATACTACCCAATCATATTTTAAAGAATTCTTTTAATTCTTTGGTAATTTAAAACATAAATACAATGTAATTAAATAAGATTCACCCCTTGCTTCCCACATCCAATTCCTCCTGGTCAACCCCTCGCATTTCCCCCTCAATCCATGTCTCTGCCTTCTTTCCTCTTCTATAACCCACTGAGTTCAGTGGGTGCCACCTGTGTGCGCATGAGTGGAGGGCACCATCCTCTTTTATCAGTGACTGACAGCCTCACAGTGTGACATCTTCACCTCATGTGCATAGCTCTGAGACATGGGGTGTGGTATGCGTAGACTCCTCTAGGCTATCCCCCGACCATGTTAGCCAGCAGCTGGAGGAGATCCTGAACTTACTAGCCAGTGGGCCCCACACTTTCAGAGGTATCCTATCTCCTGAGACCAATCTCAAAAGGTGAGTCTTCAGCTGCCACGTTCCCAGGAGGAGCTGTTGATGGTTTCCCAGGTCAGACTTTACCCGGATGGCTGCATGGTCCCCACGTTGATGGGCATGGTATGGTTTATTTAACCAATAACCTGGGACTCGAGCATCGCTGTTTTTACAGTTTCTATTAAGAAAAATCACCATAGCCCACCTTCTAAAAACAGTTCTATGGTTTTGTCCCTAGCCCCAGACTTCTTAGGAACCACAATGGGACAAGCAAGCTGGGTAGGTGGCCTACTTAGGAACAGACTCCTCAGCTACATGGATTGACCACCTCAAGTCTGGCCTGGGTGTCTTGGAAAAAAGAGATTATTTCTGTCAGCATTTTGGAGGAGGGATTGGGATTTGAACCCAGGGCCTTGTGCATGCTAGGCAGCTGTCTATGCCTGAGTTATGTCTAAAATCCTCTTTTGATTTTTAAATTTTCAGTTACCCAGCCTGGTCTTGATCTTGTGATTCTCCGGCTTCAGCTTTCAAGCAGCTACAGCGGCAGGCATCCTGGTACACTTGTCTATTGCTTGATGAAACCTAGTAACCAAGAACAACATAGGTGAAAGACCTGTATATTTGGCTTTCTCTTCCGGGTCACTGTACATCACTGAGAAAAGTCAGGGCAGGAATTCCAAGCAGGAACCTGGAGAGAGGAAGGAAGCAGAGTCCGGGGCTTGCTGGCTTCCTCTCCGTGACCTCTGCTCAACCTGCTTTTTTATACAACCTAGGACCACCTGTCCAAAGGAGATCACAACCTCAGTGGGCTGGGCCCTCCCACAGCAATCAACCAAGAATACACCCCCCTTCCCTGCCCCCCCCTCCCGTGGACTTGCCTACAGACTAATCCGATGGTGGGAATTCCTTAAGGGAGATTCCCTCTCCCCAGATGACTCTAGTTTGTGTCAAGGTGACAAAACTTAACCAGCACAGCAGACCTGGGCCACCAGGGCCAGCTTTCGTTATCTTCTGTCCATCAAGTGCAGGCACCACACCCCAGGGCTGAGCTCTGCAGGGGCAGTGGCCTGGCAGTCTGATTTTCCGTCCTTCAAACGCCAGCTTTCTCAGAGTGGGCGTGGCTTACCACCTTCCCAGGTCCCCTTCACAATGCTTCTGCCGAAACTGACCTTGTGATTGAGTGGCCCAGCCTAGCTTTATAGACTCTCTTTGTCTCCCAGTGCTAAGTATTTCCTATAAGGTGTGGTCCTATTTGCCCACAATTATGCAAGATGAAAGGGAGGGAAGAGAAGAGTGGGGAGAAGAGAGGGAGAAAGAGAGGGGGAGGCAGTCAGGAAGAAGAGAGGCACCATTGTTCTAATTTTGCCAGGAGGGAAATGGGGGCTTGTGGAGTCATATATCACTAGTTGGTTTACAAATAAAGACACAAGAGGCCACTGGTGTTCAAACACAGGATGCAGACGTTCTGTCTGCAAGTCTTTTTTTTTCCTAAGGAAAATTAAATTCCAAAAATATTTGTACTGACTTAAAAAATGCTTCTCCTTGAGTCTCCCATTTTTAGCTACATTCCTCATTTGTATGTTGAATCCTCTCTCTCTCTCTCTCTCTCTCTCTCTCTCTCTCTCTCTCAAGTTTAAGGAAGCTATCCACTGAAGCCAAAGTCAGGATTAGCAAGCATGTTCTGTAAATGGAGAGAACACACTGTAGGGAAAATGAGAGGAAAGGGAGAGAAAACCTTTCATCCGTGAGCCGATGTGGGAAGCCCCTGCACGGTGGGACGGCTCTCTTGGAGGGGAGAACACAGGGGATATACTAAGAGGGGCATAGAGCGTGGGCAGGAACAAGAAAGGGGAGCCCTGTGGATGGCTGAGATGAGTGTGTGCTCTTCCGAGGTTCTGGGATGCAGCAGGCAGGTGAGAACACAGCCTACAGACATCGGTCTTTGCCTCTGCAGATTTAACAAGGGGGCCGCTGACAGACAGTGGCTTGGTGCCACTGTGACAGGACCCGCCCCTTTTACTACTACTGTCTGTGTTGGGTAGTCATTGTGACCCTGTCCCCTTCTAGGCACTAAATAGCCAACTCCCAAAGAGGCCTCTTAGTGGGCACAGAGCAGACAAAAAGTATCTTTTCTTCTTCTTATCACAAAATACTTTTCTTCTTTTCATAACAAAATACCTGGCATATTTAAGAAAGGAAGAGTATGTTTGACCCACAATTTGAGGGAACAGTCCATCACGGTGGGGAGGACGTGGCGGCAGGGCAGGGTGGGTGGAAGTTGGGAGGTACGACGGTTCCATTGCACTCACGGTCAGGAAGCAGAGAGAGATGAATGCATCTTGGCCTGCTTTCTCCTCTGTATCCGGTCCAGGGCCCTAGTGTATGGAATGTCACTGCTCATGTTTCGGGTGTGTCTCTCCACCTTCTGTAATCCAGTCTAGCGACTCCCTCAGAAATATTCCCAGGGCCTGGCCACCTAGGTGAATACAGAGTCTGTCAAGTTGACAGACAATATTTACCCTCACAAGACTGGTCCTTGTCTGCCTGACACCCAAACACACCATATTTGAGTCACAATCTCCCTCTGCTGGTCCCACAGGCTCCTAGCCATCCGTTGATACAGAATACACTCAGTCCAACTTCGAATCTTGTGACTTTTGTCCCTGTAGTCTGCAACAGTTCCTACTGTTTAAAAGTCCAAAGTCTACGTCTCTCTGAGACTCGGTGCAATCTTTTAACGGAGAGCTCCTGTAAAATAAAAAGTGAAAAAGCCCATATGTAACTCCATTGGACAATATCACAGAATAAATGTTTTTATTTTGCTAAGGTGAATGAGGGCTCAGTGAGGCAAGATTGGACCAGTGCAACGCTAAAGCTGTGTTGCAAACACCAAGTCTGGAGTGTGTCATGGAGTTACCTGAGATCATAGCTCCAGCTCTCCCGCCTGCAGCACACATACCCTGTCTGTTAGGCTGCCTTCCTCCATATCCCCAGCTTTCCTTAGTGGACATCCCACATCCTGGCATTTCCAACATGTTAGGGTCTCCATTGCAACAAAGGTAAACTTCTCAACTTCACACAGTGGTCTTTCTGGAGCTCCTTGAAGGGACTCTGACCCTGTTACACACTGATAGCTTTTCATGACTTTGGTGCAAGCCTCCACGATTCTGTCACAAATGTACCTTGCATGCCAGTAAAACAATTAGCTATGGTGGGGTGGGGTTCCAAGCTGTCAGCACAGCAGCCTGGAAAGTTCCCTTAATCTTTTAGGAATCTCAACTCAAGGATCAGATAAATCTGTATCCTTGGCTCTGGTGCAGAAAAGAATTTCAAAATAAGCCAGAACAAAGCAGAGTTGGAGTTTATTAAAAGGTAGTCTTAGAGGCAATGACTCTGTGGATACAGTGTTTGCCCTCCAAGCTCAAGGACCTGGGTTTGTATCACCAGGGCCCACATAGCACACGGGTGTGGACATGTATGCTTATAACTGTGGCTTTGGGAAACAGAGACTCGTAGATGCCAGGAGGTTGCAGGGCAGCCAGTTTAAGCCAGAGAGAGCGCTCCAGGTTCAGTAAGAGACAGACTCTCAGCATATCAGATGAGAATCAGGAAACCTGCTTGTTCCTCTTCCAGAGAAACTGGGTTCCGTTCCCAGTGTCCACACTGGGTGACTCACAGACACCTGTATACCAAGTTCCAAGGGACCTGAGGCTCTCTTCTGGCCTCCTCAGGCACTGTATACACATACACTTGGGCACACTTACATACACATAAAATAAACAAATAAAAATTTAAAAAGGAATGCTTATTTTTCTATGTTGGTTTATTTCTGAGACAGGGTTTCTCTGTGTAGCCTTGGCTGTCCTGGAACTCATTCTGTAGATCAGGCTGGCCTGGTACTGAGAAATTTGCCTTGGAACTTGGTATACAGATGTCCATCCAAGCATTGGTGGCAGGAGTGTGAGAGGGCTGGTCTCTTTGCCCTTAGGAAAAGGGCAGGAAGCAGAACTAAACTCTGGTACTCAGTTCACCTTCTGCTTTTTATCTAGTTCAGGACCCCAGTGCATGGACTGATACTACCCACATTTAGAGCAAATCTCCATACCTCATCTTCTAACAAGATCTAGAAACTCCTTTACAGACATGGGCAAAGGTTTGTCTCCTAAATAATTCTGGGTCCCGCCAAGCTGACAATCAATATTAACTATGACAGCCCCAAAGGTCCTCTCTTTGGCCCATTTGTAGGATGACTTTAGGAAGATTCTGTGGTAGGCAGGCAAAATGCAGAAGGCGTTAGAGCTGAATGAGAATCGAGAGCCCCAGTTCTAGATAAAATTTTTTCAGTCTTCATAAGCCAAAGGAAGTTGTTCTTGCTTGTTTGCTTGCTTGTTTTTGTCAACTTGGCACGAGCTAGCGTTATCTGGGATGAGGAATCTCAATAGGGAAAATGCTTCTGGCATGTTGCCTGTAGACAAGTCTATAGGGCATCTTCTTGACAGTTGGTTGATGCTTCTAGTTGCTGGTAGTTCTGGGTTGGATGAGAAAGGAGGCTGAGCGAAGCCACGAGGAGCAGGCCAGTAAACAGTGTTCCTTCGTGTCCTCCGTGGCTTCTACTTCAGCTCCTGTCTCCAAGTTCCTGCCCTGAGTTCCTGCTCTGACTTCCTCCAGTGATGGACTGTGATGTGGAACTGTAAGCCGAATGAACCCTGTCCTCCCCAAGCTGCTTTTGGTAATGATGCTTTATCACTCAACAGAAACCCTCAGGCAGAGAGTTGGAGAGTTCAATACCATCAAAAGTACAAAAAGTGAGAGAGTTTCAGCTCATAGAAGTCCTTGCCTCCGGCTCACAAGGAAGGCACTGACTGGAATCCAGAGAGAGAGAGAAAAAGAGAGAAAGAGAGAGAGAGAGAGAGAGAGAGAGAGAGAGAGAGAGAGAGAGAGAGAGCTGGGTCATTGACCAATGTCCTAGAACCAGAGCGTGGCCAGGTGAAGAAAAGCCCTCTATCTATTGAAGGTCAATTTTCCCACTTGCCTTCTCCTCTGGTCCCATTCCAGTTGTCCTCATAGGTCTATTGCCTTGTCTCAGAGATGGATGCTGCCAGGGGAGACTGTGGGTCTGGTGACTTCTGTCCACGATGCCTTGCCTGATGTCCAGGACACCATCTCTTAGGAAAAGAATTTGGTGATCACAGCATGCACTTCTGACTAGCTGTGCTGCATGGGGTTTAGAGCCAGAGTTTGAATACAGCTTGGGTGTCTTCCCAGAGGCTCATGTATTAGAAGCTTGGTCTTCAGTGTGGCAATGTGAGGGGCAATAGAACGTTTAATATACAGGACTCGATGAAAGGTGCTTAGGTCATTGGATACACTACACCTGGGAGGGTCAAACTAGTTCTCAGGGGACTCCGGTTAGTTCCCATCAGAGTTATAAGGGGAGAAATTGGCTTCCACTGTCTGGCTTCCCGTCTTGTCATGTGATATCTCCCTTTTGTGCACACTTCTGCTGTGAAAACCATTGCTATTATGTGACACAGTCTAGGGGAGCCCTTCTGATGAGGAATATAGAGGACCACCTGATTCTGAAGTTTCAGCTTACTTAAGAGTGAGTCAAGTAATTCCCTTTTCTTTTCTTTCTGGATATAAAATATCCAGCCTCAGCCTCACACCTGAGAAGCTGAGAACATGGTAGTTCCATGGTCCTTGGGGACGGATGTCACAGCACTCTAATCCCACAGAGAATGCTTTACGCTGGGAAGGCAGACAACCTAGTATCTTCTCAGCCCACATGGCTGGATGCTTCACCAGTCCCAATCTGGCACTGAAAATCTAGAGGGTTCCTGGAGAGCCACTGTCAAGCTCCCGGAGAGGTCTTTAGACAACAATGGAAGCCTGAAAATGCTGGTTTGGATATCAGCGAAAAAATGGTCATCACCACCATCGTCATCATTGTTATTAGCTGCAGCAGCAGCAGCAGCAGCAGCAGCAGCAGCAGCAGCAGCAGCAGCAGCAGCAACAACAACAGCAACAACATAAATCAACCCAGCAGCAAGAGGGAAGACCAAGTGAGTAGAGGGTAAATGATCTCCCTTCTGCTATGCTCTTTTCATCTGGGTTGCTACCTGAACATGCCACCCACATTTGGAATGGGTCTTCCCATATCACTTAAGGGAACTGGAAGCTGGACAATTCCTCAGGGGAGGCTCCCTACTCGGATGGTTCTAATTTCTGACCAGTTGACATTAAAAGCGACCGTCATAGGAATGCTGCTACAGCAACACAAAGAGGACCTCTGTAAACCATGTCCCTCACTGCTGGTCCTCCCATCCACTCTCCCGAGTGGCCGCTGTCTCTCTCCTCTTGGCTCCGCATCCCAGTTGCTTCTCCCTTGCTTGAAGAATCCCGCCACGGGCCTCCTCCAGTTCCAGAAACATCTAACTTCTTGGATCACAGGCTTGAGTCATAAATGCATGGTTGTTTTGTTTCTTTAGTGTCTTGTAAGATGTCAAAAAAAATCTTTGAGTCACAGCCCCCACAATTTACTACCTTAACTTTTTCTCTTTTCCTGTTCAGAAAATTCTCTCAGGAGTTGCCCATTTCCACTGTCACCAGTGTCCCCCTCTTTTCATTCCCTTTAACTGACTCCCTATTCAGCTGTCCGCCCTGTCTCACCCCAGACAGCACCTAAAAAAGTCAGCACTGTTCCTCCATCCTGCCAAACCTAGCAGCTGATGCCCCACCATCTTCATAGACTGCGTGGTGCTGGTCCAGCTCAGTGGTTCTCAACCTGTGGGCCACGACCCCTTTCAGAGCCGAATATTAGATCTTTGCCTTGCAATTCTTAACAGTAGTAAAATTACAGTTGTGAAGTAGCAGCGAAATAATTTTTTATGGTTGGGGCCACCAAAACATGAGGGACCTTATTAAAGTGTGGCAGCCTTAGGAAGACTGAGAACCACTGGTCTAGCTGACCCCTCCTTCCTCTCTCTAGTGAGGGCCCACTTCCTTAGATGAGTCCAGAGAATCTCCTGGTCTCAAACACCGTGTGTGCCTAATGACTTCGCCAGTCTCTCCTGTCTGCTCCGGGCTGTTTGTATCTCCAGGTAGGTACGAGAGCCACACTGGACACTCTGAGAGATCTTCTTCGACATTCTGTTGTAGTATGAGGGCCGGCTTGTTGGGGTTTCCGTCCCGCCTGGTACCCCAACAGCCGGCAAAACCCCAAGAGAAATTACACACAGGACTCCATAAGGTTATAAACTGATTGGCCTATTAGGTCAGGCTACTTATTAGTTCTTATTACTTATCTTAACCCATTATTCTGATCTATGTTAGCCACATGGGCTCAGTACCTTTCTCGGTGTGACAGCTTACATGCTGTCTCTTCGGTGGTCTGTACAGGAGTGGCTGAGAGAGAGCTTCTGCTTCCAGAATACTCCCAGTCTCTTTGCTCCACCCCTACTTCCTGTCTGGCTTTCCCGCCTATACTGCCTGCCTGGCCAATCAGCGTTTTATTAAAATATGATTGACAGAATACAGATAATTCTCCCGCACCATTCTGTCATTCCTCAGTCTACTCATTCCTTGCATGACCGTGTTCATCCCTCGAGCCACACGTACCATCTCATTTTCTTTTGTAATGAAAGGCCAGGGCCTGAGTACTTAATAAAGAAAAGCGGTTTACTTCGCTCCTGTTTC